AGCAGATCCAGCAGTGTGCTTAACCTTTTACAGGACCTTAGTTCGATCAATATTGGACTACGGATCAATACTTTATGGAAATGCATCTAGAATTCATCTTCAAAAAATAGAACAGATCAAAAATAAGTGCCTTAGGCTATGTATCGGATATTTGAATAGCACTCCCATCAATGTGATGGAGGTCGAATGTATCGAACCTATTCTTCAATTGAGACGACAAATGTTGAGCGATAAAGCCCTGGTTAAACTGGTCAGCAGGGGATTCATTAACGAGATCCACCAATTGTTTATTCATGGATTAACAGCGAAATACACAAAAGGCTTCCTCTGATCGTAGAGAGTTATGAGTGGCTTCTTCCTGCCATCAAGAAGGTACACTCTAATCAAATCAACCCATGTTTCATACCTGAATATTCTGCATATAACTCTCCTCCCGAAGTTATCTTTACGAAATATTCCGAACTAGATTTATCAACACCTTATAAATTCCGGCATGATATTCGAACACGATGGAGTGGATGGGAATATATCTTCACGGATGGTTCGAAGAAAGACAATTTAGCGGGATGTTCATTTTATCACAGCAACAATTCGTATCACCAAGAATTCAAGTTACCACCTGAATGTTCGGTATATACAGCAGAACTGGTTGCGATCAACCAAGCTATTGAATACTGTTTCCAATTCCATGGAAATAACAATTTTGTTATTTTTACCGACTGTAGAAATGCTGTAACAAAATTGGAGAATTGTCACCCCACTGCAGATCTTAATCATCTAATTGCGAACATCATCAAACGCATTCAGGAGCTGAATAGAATCGACAAAACTATAAACATAGTCTGGATCAAAGGCCACTCAGGTATAAAAGAAAACGAGATCGTAGATAATTTTGCAAAAAGAGCTACAACTAGAGGCGATTACGTTCCGGGCATGGAGATTCCTTTTACTGACGCTCATTTTCTGATCAGACAACGACTAAAGAATAAATGGAATAACCATTACAAAATCAGTCCAACAGGAAGTTACCTGAAACGTATACTAGAGACTCTTCGAAGTAGACCTTGGTTTCAAGGAATTACCAATCGTCCTTACATTAGAACCGTGAGCAGAATAAGAAGTGGTCATGTCCTAACGCCTCATCATAAATCAAGAATTGGATACGAAGATGATCCACTTTGCAGTTTTGGAAATATAGGAACCTTGCAACACTTAATATTAGAATGTACAAGTTCTAACAACGAAAATTCTGAATTGTATAAAATTTTAGCGAATCACCTTCCTTTGCCTCTAAATTTAGAATCAATTCTCAGTTCTGAGAACCAGCAAGTTTACGAACTTTTATACAAGCATTGTCGGAAAGTAGGGCTAACATTATAAAATGTAAATCACAGTAAGTTTGAAAAAATGAAAAAAAGAAGAAAATATTAAAAAAAAAGAAAAAAAAGCAGATCAGTATAAAGTAATAAATATATATGTAGATATGCATAAATAAAAAAAAATCTTATAAACAAAACAGAGAAAAGGAAAAAATAAGCAAAAAGTATTGGTTAAAAAAAAGAGAAATATGTGTTCGCATACTCTATGTAACTATAATAGAAATAATATACAATAGCAATATTAAGTAATGGATGTTCTATTTTCTATTAAAGCATAACATTATACTGAACATAAGGATCTGGCCAGTTGGTCATCGACCAGTGCCAATAACAGAACAAAAAAAAAATAAAAAAAAAGAAGCAAAGTTCATTGAACTATAGAAAACCAACCATATTTGTGTTAATATTTTGTAGCATAACCATTATTTTCAATCACCGTCTGGCATCGTCTCGGCGTAGATTGTAGAAGTTTCTTGATATAAGATTCATCAATCTGTCTCCACTTTTGCTCTAAAGCGGCAAAAAGTCCGTCCTTGTTTGAATAATGTTTATCTCGTATTTGCTTATCTAAGTATTCCCATTGATTTTCAATGGGGTTATATCGGGAGACTGTGAAGGCCATTTGAGAACTGATATTTTTTCATTCAGAAAGAATTTCTTTGCGATATTTGAAGTGTGCTTCGGGTCATTATCTTGCTGGAAGATTGATCTTAAGGGCATATTGTCGTCCATATAGGGTAACATGACATGCTTTAGTATGTCTGTCTATACAAACTTATCCATACTGCCATCTATTCTATGTAAAAGTCCCATCCCAAACCCCGAAAAGCACCCCCAAACCATAACAGACCTGCCTCCATGTTTGACAGTTCAATCTTTGTCCACTAGGACGTCTAACGTAATGAAAACTATCTGATCCAAACATATTGAACTTGGTTTCGTCACTGAAACATACCCTCTTCCAGTCACAGATGCCCCAATCAAGATGCAATCGTGCAAATTGTAATCGGTCCTTACTGTTTTTCCTCGAGATTAGCGGCTTCTTACTCGGGCGACGTGCAAATAACTTCAAATCATTTAATCTTCTACTTACAGTTTTTGTAGAAACACTGACAATTCCTTTTGTCTCGATTTCGGCTTTTATTTATCTTGGGGTTGTAAACGGATCGTTGGACGAAATTACTTTTATTAATCTAACTGAAGCAGCATTTAGTTTTCTAGGCCGACCACTTCTCTTAGTCTTAGAGGATTCCAAGATACCTTTTTGTTTATATTTGTTCAATATTGCCCAAACTGCTTTACGCTTCAGCTTCAAATTTTTGGCAATGTCGACTTGACGTTGACCATCTTTGTATAACTCAATGATCTTAGTTTTCACATCGAAAGAAATTTCTGGACCACGCGGCATGGTCTTAAAATCAAGTATGAATTCGTTTTATAAAGGTATTTCAGTAAATATTCATATTTGTCTATATACTTTTGTCCATTACTGTATGTTCAGTATACTTTCGCCTCTTCAAGTTACTGACTCGCTCAAACAGAGGCGTAGCTACCGCCGTATCAGCCGTATCAATGATCCGGGGTATCCAGCTTCTAGAGTATTCCCAGGTACAGGATTCATACTCATTACAACTGCAACAGGTGAAATAAGCTTCTCGAAATCAAAAATAATTAAAATATTTCAGGAGGTTTTTATATAATAATAATATTTTTTTTTAATATTTATTCACTCAATGTACAAAGATAACAAACAATATGAGTAGGTATAATTTCATAAAATTTAGGGGCTAAATAGAGATATGATCGCTGCATTACAGATTTATGCGGTTGAGGAACTACTGTGCCACGAATTTTGTACCTGGTATAATGATTATGTTTAATTTTTTGGTCGGTGTTTACAAATTTATGGTAGTGAGTGATACTGTGTAAGAAATAAAGCTGTCTTATATCATACATTCGAACATCTGCGTATAATTTTTCAGTGGGATAAACTTTCGGTTTTTTAAATATCATTTTTAGAATACTTTTTTGAAAAACATCTAAATTATAGATATGCGAGGAGCATGCAGCTCCCCATGCTAATATACCATATGTGAGATGAGGCTCAATCAGTGCATGGTATAATGTTCGAAGATATTTTTCTGTCAATATATGGATTGGAAGATCGAATTTTTCGTTAAAAATTCTTACATTTCTGTAAACCTATTGAATAATGCACCATCTAAAACAAAAAACAACCAAATCCTAGGCGTCTGGTCAGCTAGGGGAGTGACCATTGTGCTATCAGCCTTGACGTCCTATGCAAAAATTGCATTAACTAAGGTAGCCGCCTGTCCCCTTATTGAAAGTCATTTCATAATCCAGGATTATAAAATACTCGTATTGCGCTTTAAAAAAGGAATCACGTGACCCCCTATTCCATTTAAAAAATTTTCCAAGATGGCAACCAACCATCATCTTGAAATTTTCAGGTATCACTTGTAAGCATACGAAATATTTCGAACACATTTTGCATGCGAATTCAACCTTGTAGTACACGGAATCTTTCTAGAAAGTTCACAAGTTGGTTAATGTCATTCAACACGACCGCCTTTAGGCCTGCTTATCTTATACATTCTATTCTTCTGGGCACTCGTTCCCAGAGTATGCTTTCACTAGAATCATTTACTCGCAAATGGGCGTAACGGTCGCTTCTAAAATCAAGCAGTGCATGCTGTGAACCTAATAACAGTGATGCCTGGTTTCCTCTGCCAGGGGATATGTCGGAGCGCTTGGGATGTCACGATGCTTTTTGGGCGCAGGAACCTGAAAAGATCGCATGGCAGGATGTGTGTAGGGATTGTTAGGTTAAAGTAGTCTTGTTGCTCAGATCAGGGGTAACGATGGAACTTTTGGGTATTGACATGGCAATGTGATATCCTAATTTCTAGACAGCTTTTCCTATCAATCGTTAGAGAGAGAAACTCCTAGTCTGTCTGTGTCTGTGTGACGACTCAATGATCAGTCTGTGTGACGATACAAGATATGTCTGTGTGATGATCATATGATTAAGTCTGTGTGACGAATATATACTAGAAGTTTGGATAAGCTAATCCTAATGTAATGGTAACTAATAGATTTGTGCATGTCATGCCATCAGTCAGTCTAATATGCGAGGTACTCATAAGTATTTTGCCGAAAAATAGGTGTTGGCCCCGACAATCAAGTCCTATCGCGATTACTCCTTGCCAAACGTCACCAAGTAAGCGGCTTTTGTTTCCCATATCGAATTGTTCACGTACTGCCCTTGTAACAAAAAAAAAACGGTACAGAGTGGTACTTCTTTTAAGGCGGGTTAGTTGTTTTCACGTTTATCGTTCTATCATCGTCTTACTGAATCGATTTAATGGTTCCGAATTTCAATGTGCTAAATTGCCCCTTACAAAAAGATAGTGGGGAAGGGGACCTTTTTGAAAAGCACTGTATATCACAGTAAGCGGAAAAACAAATTCATGTGTGTAATAATAAACAATTTAATTGTTACAGAATAAATAGATGCATCCGTCATCGTTTTTTACTGATAAACCAATACTTAAAAGCTGTCCACATAAACTGGTTTGAATCATATTATCTCCATGTTAGCGATAATATAATAAAAAGATAGATGACTGGCGTGTTTTGTTATACATGTGCAAGTATGGAACATACATTTTATCTAAAATATGTTTATCATTGCATTATGAATGGTTATTTGTAGAACGATTTTCCTACGTACGGAATATATATTATATCAGATTCGCTCCTATTACAATAGTTAATTATATGAGAATTATTATACCTGTCTACAGTTTAATTAGCCGTGCAACATTTTGTGCCAATATGTCTGGTAAGTGTTGCAGTGATATTGCAGTCTATTGCATTCTAGAAATTATCCAATTAGCAAAGTCATAGGCAAAACAAAATCTAGGCATCTCTGTGAGAAATTCAGATCTTCCTGAGCAACTAAGCGAGCAATATTTTTGTAGCAATATTTGACTATTTCTTTGGCAACTATAGCCCAGTCATCATGATCACAGTTGCAGTTGTGCATTTAGGTAACTAAGAAAATGGCACTAAGATAGTTTCGTAATTCCGCAGATAGACGAAAGACGAATTTTCCCAAAATCGTTTTTAGTTTTTATGACAATTTGAAATGGAGTTTCAAAATAAAAAATATATTAAAATTTTTGCATAGATAAACAGATTTTTTAATTCTGATTCCATTGTCAAATCTTAGTTATTTAAAAAACGTTGGCCTTGAAATTATCCGATAGTCATTTCTTTCATATTATCAACCAAGTAATAATCCTTCGGTTGTTATGAACTAGGCATAAGTGCTTATTTTTTATTTAAATGATGTGATATTGTACAAATCATGACATGGATTGGTATTATAAAACTTGGAATCTTCCCATATCTCAACGAATAAAGAAGAAGCTAGTGCTAAATAAAACCTTATGTTATTTAAGGACCGTATTCAAAACATTAAAAACAGTATTATTTTATGTAACAGATAGAAACATTTTAGAGTAAGTAAAACGGACGATGTTGCAGTCACCCAAAGATGTCTTTTAAACACTTTTCTCATAAATTGAAGCATTTAATTTAATCGCATAAACGTGTGATAAACTGTCATCTTCAAAGCCAGCTAAGGAAATATTAGTTTTTTTGAAATAACTTCGGTTAGATAATGTGAATGTATGACATGTTATACATTTTTGAAATCAGAATTAAAAACTCTGTTTATCTGTACTATAAAATCTATTACGGCCTCTTTGATAAAAATTAATGTTGGTGATTGAGGACCAGAGACGAAATGTCATATTAAAATTCTAATTATGCCATGTTGTAGAGGAGGGCCATGGTAATGTACTTTTCATTTTGAAATCCAATTTCAAATAAAGCCAACAAAAATTCAAACAAATTTGATAAAAATCGGTTTCGTCAGTCTCCGGAAATACTCGAAATTGTGAAACTTCCTAAGTGCCATTTAGTTAGTTACCTAAATCCAAAACTTTGCCCTTAATTTAACCGACTCCGTATCTCTTACCGTTTCCGAGGTCCCAATAGTAATAATAATAATAATTAAAGTCCTATATCTGTAATATTCTTACAGGAGGCGAGATTTAGATAATATATCTATTCTACCATCTAACCCCTTAACAATACGAGATACGTAAAAAAAACAGAATTGGTTGAAAATTAATACCTGTATACAATAACGACAGAATAAAGTGTAATCTAAGTAAAGGCATAAGAAAAATATGATGCCACTTATGGGTTACAACAGATTTCGCTGTTGATAAAGTACAACTTCTATCAGTTTTTTCTTGAATTTGGGTAATGGATTGGTTTCTTTTAAACTGCGCTCTAATAGGGAGAGTCGAATTTGAAACACCCGATATGTCTGGGCTATATTAGCTATGTCTCACTATATACTATACATATCTTTATAAATTTTTTGTTTGTCCAGATAATAGTACAAAATAAACGTTGTTGTGTCTTGTAATGAATGCTTATACAGAGCAAATAAATGCTTTGTACAACCGGCCTCAAAAAATGTGTTATGCCCTTCTAAAGTCGTGAAATTGTGTAGAGTGAATAAAAAATGTTTAATTCAAAAAAATTAGGCTTTTTCAGCTTTATTTATAAAAGTTATATGGTTTACTACCTTTCAATCATTTTTTTTTTTTAGTTTTAGAAATGACTGCATCTAAATTATTAGAGTAATAAAGGTAGTAATCAACAAATAAGTAAGCTTACGAATTTCTCTTATGCAAGTTGATTTGAAGTCACTGATATCTGATACCTGGATGAAGTACATTTCGTGTCTATCATAATACGTATTAATGGCCAAAGTTTAAAACACTTCGGATATCGTCTGGCATTGGTTGACGTATTCCAAATGGATACATTCAACTGAAACAGGTATTAGAAAGGCACCAAAAAGAAATTAAAAATCCTAACGCCACATGTGAGATAGTAGCAGAACCAAACACTATATCTCTTTTCAAAGTAGATTTCAAAATTCATTTGTCAGTTCTGCTACTATCTCATAAATGGTGCTGGGATCTCACAGATCCCTATTTGGGCGCCGGGATAGAGTATATGGTTGGCTATCTTCAGACTGAAGACTTTAATCAACGCAAATACACTTTTTAAGATTTCTCATCAGAAGGGCTAGAAAATTAGTCAAGAATGACGGACGTGATTGTATGCGTCGCGGCATCTTAACATTGCTTACATTACATTGAGTAGGATTAGTCCGGCAATCTGATAGCAATATACGAAAATAGGTCGGTAATGTCAAAGGTGTAGGAATATAGTTGGCAGGGTTATTACGTAAAAAACATATATAATGTCAAAAAATGGAGTCATGTAGGTTGACTCTGCATTTCCCACGCAATGTTGTCATCGTCATCAGTTCATAAACGATTATGTTCGGCACAAGTTATTCCCTCAGAACTAGCTACAAACATGTATAACAAAAAAATTAAATGGATTAAGTCAGCCAAACAGACCTATGCAATTAGTCCTTACTCTAAAGTCCCCACCCATTTAATAACTTTAACGCTAGTTTCTTCACTGCTCTAAGGGCCGTATCGTCATTCCTAGAATAAATTGTAAGACGAGTTTATGGCCTCCTTGATTTTAATAGTATTTTCTCTCCTTCAGAAAGACTGAGATATTTCAAGATTTCTAGTGTTCCGTATCAGCGTCAGCGCTCTCCTATTGTGAAGTTACGTTTTCTTTTCGAATTGCAGGAAATTTTCGGGCTGATAAACAGATGCTATAAATCAAAAGCAAGAACAATTTGGTGCAAATAGATATTTGTGACATAACCTCAAATTAGAACGCTGACACGGAACAGTAGAAAACTATGAAAATCAAGGAGGCTGTCCTACAATTGTAGCAACGATACGGCCCTTAAGTCCACACGGATCTACAGCCCAGTACAGAGAATACTATGATCCTAAAAGCTTCGTAAACTTGAATCATTTTTAAGAAACTGCTTTGTTTGACCACTTCATCCAACGTTTTGCTTTTCCAACTCAATCTAACCCAATTTAACACAAATTATTATAACCTTCCACTTTTCCTAAATATACGGACAAAGGTTTTTAATCTACATTGGCAAATTGATGATGAGTATGAAATTTTTAGACAATGTATTGCAACCAATCATTTTTTCCAGTAAGGCATAGTTTGAAAAATCCAGTTTACCTAAGATTTGCAGGGTTCACCTTGTTGAAAAGAAATATAAAAATGACAATAGGATCGTGTATACTTGATTGGAAAATGTGAACTTAGAGCGTATCAGAGGTCTAGAATAAACTTTTCCTTTGAAGAACATGCAAGTATTCCATTTTTCTGTGATTAGAGATTTGTATCAAGATTTTTCTAAAAAAAACAGTAGCTCAGCATATGGTGAAAATCAGTTTAACAGAAAAATACACAGCCAATGTTCCGCTTATTAAATTAAAGCAACAAATATAAACAAAGCGGATTTACAAATGTATAATGACCAATCAACGATAATCAGAGACGATCACACATTAATTTGTTCAACAAAGCACAGTTGGTTGTCTATATGCATTAATGGGTAAATTGGGTCAGCTGCTAAGTAGATGCAAGTTCGATTCAGATTGGCACAAATGGCCTGGTAAGATACGAACGCAGTGATTTGACAACAAGATTATCTCTTGGTGGCTTGGCTATTGTAATATATAAAAAATCAAAAAGAATGTTTACCATATTTTATTAAGCAATTTAAAAAATATTTTATTTAATAATTATAAAACGAAATTTTGGAGGCAACCTTACACTGGAGGCCCCATCCCCCCCCCTTAGTCCGCCACTGAAAGAATTTCAAGGACATCAGATACTTGAAAACCCCATTAAAAGTTAAACAGTCGATATCGTCCCAGTTACTACTCACTTGATTACCATGTTTGTTGTTTTGGTAATTATAATTTATTTTTAACAAGCACTTCTACTATACATCGCTTGTATCAGAAGTGTGTTCGTTTTATAAATGAGTATGACCAGTAGGTACTTCGTTATTTTGAAAATAGTTTTTTAAATCGTTCATTATACAGGTTCCTCAGATAAGGGCCGTGTGCTGACTAGAGAAGAACGGTTTTCTTACCAAAATGTAGACTTCAAGTTAGCGGATGCAGTGAAGACTGACGTTATTTACAAATACTTCAGAGATGCTAGTACAGAGGAGCCCAAAGTTCTGACAGAAGAGACGGTAGGAGATGAACACATGGATAAAACAGTGCCAACGACTTATATCATTCATGGGTAAGAATTTTGAACTTGTTGGAATGGGCTGAAAACGCTAATTTCTATTTTAGCGTATTCAACAAATCTATATGTGGTGGCCATATCGTAGAATTGATCGAGCGTTTCATAGAATGGCCAATCGTTGAATCGTCAACGTTTAACGATTTGGTCATCCACGATTGATCATACCGTAAAAAAGGTGCCCATAGAATATTTAATAAAAATGCAGAATATGTTAGGAACTTGTTTATTTATTCTGCAAGTTAGAAAACCATTTTGATTGAAACTAGTAACTATAGGAAATTCAATTAAGATAATTAAATTAGAACATTCCTAAAATGTACAAAAGTCTCACAAATAAAATTTTCGCAAAGAATTATATATAAACGTGAAACTCTGTCCAGTTGACAACATCGATCGATTTCAATCCCACCAAGGCTGATTACGTGGCCCAGGTAGTTCACCTTCTCCCAAAAAATGGACTTCTACGGACTTTTAAGGTAGCACTTCCGAGCCTCCGTAAATCTCTTTCAAATTCTTCAGGTGCTCTTCGAACGTCTTGCCTATCACGATGATGTCGTCCAGGTGGACGAGGTTTGTTTTCCAGACCAGCATTAACTCCATCAACCCCTCGAACTAGCAGGTGCGTTGCGCAACCCGAAAGGCATTACGGTGAACTACCCTGTTCGATTGAAAAGACAGTCGGCATGATCCATTTCCACTTGTCAGTATTCGCTCTCCAAGTCCAGCGTCGAGAAGAAAGCAAACCCAGATAGTGAATCCGACGTGTCTTCAATGTGTGGCAGTGAATGGCTGTCCTTCCTGGTGACGTTGCTTAGACGACGATAGTCTACGCAGAAACGAGTACTCCCATCCTTAGTTTTTACCAGCACCACACCAAAAGTGACGCCCACGGGCTACTGGATTGATCTATCACACATTCAAGTTCCATCTGCTAGACTATCTTAAAGGCTTCCTCTCGCTTTACCTCCGGGAGTCTACTTGTGCTTCGTGACATTCGTCCGCCCTCGTTCGGAGCCTTTACCTGCGAAGATGTCCCCATATCGGTCGATCAGTTCTTTCGCCTTTGCAGCTTGACCCGGGTGAACGGCTTGACAGACTGCCCCAATCATCTCCTGAAGGCGGCTGCAACCCTCGTTCTTCTGCTCGATTCTGAATTCGGCTTGATGGATGGTCGATGTCACTGGCGAACATGTACCAACGATAGCTCCTCCCTTCAGCATCACAGGATGGGAGCTGGGATTCAAGAGCCGGAGTGGAACCTTCACCAGAACCCTCTCCACCAGCGCACCTGCTATGACGGTCCCTCTCGTGTCAACGTCTCCATCGACACACGCTTTCACAAGGGTCTCGCTGTTCGCAGGTACACCGGTGTCTCCAGTCATGATCATCCAAGCATGCACAACATTTCGGCTATGGAGAATGGCTCCTCTACTCTAACTGCGGTATCCCAAGACCAGCTGGAATCCGTGACTGCTCATCACGTCCATTCCCAGGACCACATCCTCCTCAATAGCAGTAACCAGAACACGATGAGGGAAGTTCTAAGAGCCGATCGGCAATGTCACGTCCGCTTCTCTACGTACAGGAACAGCAGCTCTCGTCGCGGTGCCTAGTTTCCAGGTGGATGGAAGTAGCTCCTAGAAGTTTTTATCAGGCCTGGCCTCATGATGGTATTTATAGCTCCGGTATCCACCATGAATGAATATGTCCTACCGTTAATTCTTCCATCCACATACAGACTTCGATAACCTCAGTTAAAGCTTCCCCCTCAGCTGTTCTTCTCGACAGCTGGCATTCCCTTCGAGGGTGGCACCACTCTCTACAGTTCTGGCAGGGTACAGCTTGGTCTTCTTCGTAAGCAGCCTCTGTATTTCGTTGACCAGCGCCTCTAAGGTTTGCTGGCTAGGGTTAGCTTCTTCGGTAACAACCCTCACACGGGCATAACTTTTAGGTGCTTCTTTCGCAGTTTCAAACTCTAATGTGCAGGCCAAGCAACATCTTCGGGTAGACACTTCATCAGAAGCTGATGGATAGACGAAGCACATCAGCCGAGTAACATCCGCTTCGAACTCCTACAGACTCTCGTTTGCTTTCTGTTGGCGGTTCTTCATCTGCGACTGTTATACTTGCTCCAGATGAGCGCATTTTCAAGTGCTGCTATTGTTTGAAGACATCTAGGGCGTCTCCTCTGAGGGTCATAGTCAACGCATCCGCCTTGTCGCTGCTGGAGCAACCATTGGCTGGAACTGCTTGAAATAGTTTGGCCAGGTCGTTTTCTCGTTGAATGGTGGATACTTCAGCTTGGCTGCACCTGGTCCAAACTCCCTCCTTTATGGGATGCTCCACATCGTCTATTACGAAGTCTTGACCAATGACTCGATGGCAAACTTGCGCTTGTATTCCTGCAGCTTTCCTTGTAGCTCCTCTACTTCTCTGAGACGGCTTGGTTTTCTTCCTGGACGCGGATGATACGTCCAGCTTCTGGGAAAGGGCCTGGTTGTCTTCCTTCAACATCTGCGACAGGGCCTGGTTCTCCTGCTTCAGCGTTTGCGATACGGCCTGGTTCTCATCTCCTAGCGTCCACGGCTGGACCTGGCTCTCTTCCTGAACGGCACGGCTGGTGTCGTCAAGTATCTGGGTAAGGGACAGGTTCTCCTCTCAGCATCTGCGACAGGGCCTAGCTTTCCTCTCTCAGCATCTGAGCGTAGACAGAAGCCGTGTGTCGCCGGCGGAGCCTGGACCCTTTGAAGGTCTCTGGATTTCCCCCACAGCTCTCTCTCAAGTACTTCTGAAGATGGGCCAGCTGCGTCCAATTCAATCCTGTCGTTTCGAGCACAATCTCCTCTAGCTCTCTCTTCAGGTCCACCACTTTCAGATCGCTTAGCTTTTTCACAGGCATTGTCTCTGTCATGCACCTACACGACAAAACGAGCACGAAACAACAACGAAATTAAACGTTCTAGGTCATACAAAACAGTCACAATCACTCCCGATACGCGCACAGCTTAGCCTCTAAAAATAGTTACTGTCTCTGCCGACACATGCAAGGTCTAATAACGGTTAAAGTCACCCCCGACACAGGTACCTTCACTAACCCGTGCACCAACTAATTGATAACAAATTTATAACAATATCGACTGGACTATTATTTCATCGACACAGTCGGGACAGTGAACGAACAGCGATATCCGCATTCGCATCTACTGTCTCGGAGTGCAGACTGTCACTGACCATCTGGCCAAGTATATATTCATCTATCGACGCTTCAAGAAATGTTCTAGCGTTTTCCATGAAGAGCCGTGAGCTTTCATGGAAGTAGACTAGATGCCATCTCCAATACTCGCGATTGCGTCGCGAACGGTCCAGAATACAACCACGTTCGATACATGGTCGCACAACTCTGCTAAGCGTCATCCTTGACACTCAATGTCCCAGCTATACGAGGGCGTTACATTTCATTTTTTGAATGCAAGTTGTGTGCATCGGCTCAGATATAAGGGGAAATGAAATGTATTTAGGGAACTGCAACATGTTCGAGTCTTTTAACTACACCAAAAATATTTCTATCAGTTTCATAAAATAATGCTGTTTTAAATACTATTCTTCAATGTGAGAAAAAGTTTTAGCATTAGGTTTTTCTGTATTCGATGAGTTGAGATCAACTACAGGATTAATTTTTTAGATACTTGAAGTTTTATAATACTAATCAAAGTCTTGTATGTACAATCGGATGTGTGTGCAGTTTTGGGGAATTTTAGGGTCTCCCTGAAGAAGTTTACTACCCCCGCTCTTCAAAAAGTTTCTGAGCCAGGTACACCCTCACAAAAAGTCACCGTTACTTGTCCGCCTGTAAAAAATTCCTGCGGCTTCTGCCATCTTATTTATAACATATTTGGAACATTTTTCAGATTTACAACTGATGACAGTTCGCCATGGTATAAACCTTTCAAAGACGAGCTCTTCAAGTTGGGTCCACACAATGTGATCTATATAAACTGGCAGAAGGCTGGAAATAAATCATATTCTGTATCCAGTGCGAACATTGATCCTGTGGGAAAGTATATCGCCCAGTTTATACTTGCTTCCGGGGTATTGCCAGAAAAGGTCCATATTGTGGGTAAATATATACCTAGTATCTAGCATAATTTGATCTGAAAGACGTCATATTCCATAAAATGGGAGCAGTTCATTTAATATTTCACTCACAGAATGTTCTAATTAGTTTGAGAAAGGTATACAAATTCACATTCCTAATAATTTTTCGAGTAGCCAAGAATCAATTCACCTGCCTCAGTTATGAACAAGCGAATGATATCTTTAATACGAGAATAATCCCAAAGTCTTCTCTTTTTACAAGCTTTTATCTTTAACTCTTGACTTTAGTATGTTTGTTAGTATCTATGGGAAAAATCTAGAAACTGAACTTTGGACCAGTTAGCATTCATCAATTGAGCTGAATTGTTTATACACGTTTGATAATAATAATGATAATAATAATAATATTAATGATAATAATAATAATAATATTAATTATAATAATAATCTTTATTGCCCAACAGTCTCCCAATTATAGGACAATAATACATAAGCATACCATAAAACCATATTAAATGAAAAAAAGACGTTTCACCCCCCTGGATGGCGATTGTTAAAAATGACAAGTCGGCGTACAACGGCAAAAGATTTTGATTTTAAGGTGGGGATGATGCGCGTGACCAGTTTATAATATTGCCGAAAGACGAAGAGGTAACTAACAGCCAATGATGTGCTGCACACAATCAGAGATAGAGGGGGGCGGTATTGAAAACAATTTCCCTTGAAATATACTGGTAGTCACTTTTAGTATTTTAGATTGTTCACGGAACAAGAGGGAAAATTAGTTAATCATGAATTAGTAATAACAACATGAAGTTTGTTTTACAGCTGATGAAACTAGGCGGTTGACTCAGTCAAGCAAGAGAATTAACCAATTAACGACCGAGAATCTTTCGCTTTGTATCTTAGCTAGTCAGCCAATACACACAGTTTGTTTAGTTTGTTGTATTCAATTTTGACATGGGAAAACCAAATTTGTCTGATGGCTTGAGTTCAATGTGTACGAGAGAGAAGCGCGATAACTGTGTATCAACACATATTAGAAAGAGTTAGAAGCCGGCTGAATAGCGAAGATCATCACCACATTGCCTCGCGACGGTGACGCAGAAGGTCTTGTAATCTGCCGCGTCGCCAATATGTTACACTAGAAAATGTTCACACAGGATTTTCAATAGGTTAGGCTACTGTCAAACCTAAGATAAAGGTTTGTTCAAATATTTAATTTAATATTTTGTTTTCATTTTAATTAGAATTATTTATTTCAATTTTGATGAGACTAAGGGCCAGCTTTAGGAGTGCCCGCGCATAGAGTTAGGAGGAAAATGGAGACGTGGATTGCAAGACAACACTCTTATAGAAATGGGGTAGTAAATCCTGGCATCTCCGCCAGGAACGGGAGCTCATTTAAGGGCCCAGTGCTAAGGATGGTCGTTTCTGCTTATCTCTGGATTGAGCCAACCTAAGATTGCTGGTGGGACTGTTGTCTGGCCATAACACGTTAAGACGCCACCTGCACGTGATGTGGGTGGCTGAGGATAGCTTGTGTGAGCGCTGCAGAGTTGAGCAAGAGATCTCGGCGCACGTTCTGTGTCGCTTTGAAGCTTTGAGCTGCAATAGGCAGACTATTCTGGGGTCCATTACTTTGAGGCCTCAGGACGTTAAGGAGCTTCGACTCAAGGCCATACTCAGCTTCGCTAAAATGGCGAGATCTGAGGAATGTAGAGGTGAATAAGGGCCCGTTTAAGTGGCCTATGCACTGGCTCCTTATGGTGGCCGGAATGCCTCTGATTTCACTATTCAATCATTCATTCAAGGGCCGTACCGTCAGTCGCCTTTATGGCGTCCTTGATTTTCATAGTTTTTAACTGTTCCGTGTTAGCGTTCTATTTTGAGGTTATGTCACAAATATCTATTTGCATCAAATTGTTCATGCTTTTGATTTATATCATGTTTTATGAACCTGAAATTTCCTACAATTCAAAAAGAAAACATAACTTCACAATAGGGGTGTGCTGACGCTGACACGGAACAGTAGAAATCTAGGAATACCCTAGGCTTTCTGGAGGAGACAAAAGACTATGAAAATCACGGAGGCCATAAAGGCGTCTTACAATTATTGTAGGAACGACTGACGATACGGCCCTTAGTGGTTTAATTTACTTTAGAATTAGTTATCTTTGATTTTCACGGATGTCAATAAAATCAACACATCCTGAGTCACTGTTACATTTCGCGACAGCGAGCGGTCGGAAGATGTAACAAATTCCATTACGCAATACAAAATCGCTCATCTGTGCTTATGGAGGTGGAAACCTTGCCCTGAAATGTACGATATGCGATGTTGTCAAGCGAACCAATGATGCATTGCAGAATTTGTGGCGATCCTGATCCTTCATTTCGGCCTAAAATAGAGCGCCGTTAGGACCGATCCGGAATCGATCCTAAACAGATTTGACACGATTCACAACTCAAAAATGTGTACGCTCAAAATAAAGCCATTATGTGGGCATAGAGAAATAAACTAACGCATATTTTCAACATGCATCTTAATTCAAGAAATTGGTGTAACATAATCGCATCGCGGCAGATTGCCGCGTCAGCGTTGCTACGCAGTGATGAACTTCGCTATCCAGACGGCTTGTATCTCTGTCTAGCATATGTGTCTATACACACTTCTCTCTAGTACACATTGAACTCAGGACGTCAGACAAATTTCGTTTCCCCTGTATGCTCGTTCCTGTTGGAAAACTTTCTATTCACTATCCCTAGGTCACTCATTGGGGTCCCAGCTAGCAGGCTTCATAGGCAAATGGGTCCAGAAACTGTCCGGCAAAAAAATCGGTAGGATAACTGGCCTAGACCCTGCTGGGCCCAGGTTTGACTACCCTGAAGCCCCACCTACGAACAGGCTTTGTGACACTGACGCTGACTTTGTTGATGTGATACATACTGACATTCAACATTATGGATACACTCCACCTTTGGGACACGTGGATTTTTACCCTAATGGTGGCATGGATCAACCTGGATGTCCTCCTCGCCAAATTGATGGTAATTTGCTTTTTGCTGTATGTCGCAAATAAAGAAACAGAAGCAAAAATAGAAGGATTGGTAGCCTGACAGACGTACGTTTCTGCTTATTGGCTTCATCAGGCCCAAATGGATGTGCATCAAGAACACCGAAGAAGATCATATCTTATTACGGGTGTAACTTGAAGGAAAACAATGATAGAAAGGGAAATAGAACTAGAAGAGATGCCACGATGGTCCTTTGTTTTCACTAAGTTTCCCAAAGACTACTCTTTTTTGTAATCACTCATTGGCTAGAAGTACCACGGCAAGTAGCTAGAGCTGGCCTCCATTGCGACCTTGGTTGATACCTGCTAAACACGACGACCTCGGAAGCCTGCTGGGTCTTGTAAGTGGCTTCTAGTTATATTTCCCTTTCCATCCCTGTTTTCCTTCAGGTTATATAGGTATCCAGATATACTGGGCATATGTCTTCACTTCTGTTTCCTCGATGCACATCCATTTGGACCTGATGAAGCCAATAAACAGAAACGTTCGTCACTCGGGCTTCGAATCCTTCTATTTCTGCTCCTGTTTCTTTATTGCGGACATGCCCATGATTGTCTTTTTATGCTTTATTAACGTAAGTCACAATGCTATTGCAGATACGACTTTTTCGTCCAGCATCGTCTACATCTGACTTTTATGCCTTTATAGTGTAACAGTTGCCACTATTTTACTTTAGTGTAACAATAGGAATATTAGCGTAGATCTCTTTCGCCTAGTTTCCACTTTTTTGCTTTAGTATGATTGCTAGAAATTTTCAACCTCAATCGCAAGTTAGCCGTGAGTGTTGCAGATACCACTGAATTGGTTTATTATGTGGTACAAACCGCTACTTTGTTTAGTATTTTAACAGCAGTTATTATTTTTAATTGGCCGTATCTGCTTAATTAAGTCGACGAAATGATATTTTCACGAAATTCGACTATCTTTATGTAAGAAAAATAATGGCGATTTCTCATGTTCGTAGTGAAAAAATAATCTGTCTACGACCTGGCTTGGAATAGGTCTTTTGGGCGTCTCTCATTCCAGCCACGGGCTGGTTTTATGCTGTAGGGCTATAAAGGAACTTTTGTGCTCGCTACGTTAAAATATCGTTTATGCGCAACTACTGGTGACACAATAGCACGGTCAGTTTATATATTCGATCGGTCTGTCTATAACTCTGAAAATACTGCTCAAATGTTGATAAAACCTTGACGCAAGATTGATGCCACATCAAGAATAAAGAACTTTGTAGATTTTGCAAATCGATCAAGTGGCAGCTAAGAACGGTCGAAATACTAAAAATTTCAGAACGCGTTCGCTTCGTTTTTCAGTGTTTCTGAGTTTCTTTTATTTTATGAACTATCATTAGGAACTCCTCGGAAAAAAATTCATCGATGATATTGAAATTTCTCTTCATGAATAATTATTTGGTGTGCATGTCGGATATAAATCTTTTTGCGTCATATCATTAGCATCTATGGTTCATCTTTAATTTCTACTATTGTTTATTCCAGTAAAATGCAACCATGGAAGAGCTGTAAGGTATTTTATTGAATCTATGTACATACAGGCGAAAGCTAAAGAAGCAAATTTTATCGAGGCAAACGATTATTATGTTCAGATAAACGTAAAAAACAATCCGAAAGAAGTGATTTTTGGATATTTTGCTGAGCGTTCTTCCAGAGGTGTATTCTATCTGGAAACCAAAAGCAGTGTACCTTATCTGATTGTGTGAATGTTGTTTTCGCTCAATAAATGTTTGTGTTACTGTGTGCTTTATTACTTGTTTTTGTGCATACGAAACGAATCTTTGTCTGTCTATTCGTCCGTACCTCGTAATCCCCTAATATTTGTTTAGGGAGAGAACGCTTTACGTTCGCAGAACTCGAAATCCGTTCTTAGCAGACATCTATTGCCTATAAGCTACCCCTCTATCAAATTCTACGTCTCTAAAGAAACAAAAAATAGTTCTTAAAAACTTGTGGAGCTCTTAGCCCCTCTTAAAAATCGCAAAGCGGATGAGTAAGCTTACAGAGGTGTCGCCAATCATTTGAAAGATCCAGAACCTCTCTGTGATGAGTCTAGAACACTCATAAAGCAGTCCATCGAAAAATATGGGTTAAGAAAATACCATAGAATAATAGAATCAGAACAGATCCGCCCGAAAAATTTGATCACGAACTATGAAATACATCTATTAGCCGCCTTATTTGTGTTGACCTTTATAAATAGAGGTTATGTTCAAAGTTATACCTACATTACAATTCTCCCCGTTTTTTTGCGTTTTCGAAAACTTTGACAAGCATTACGGAAACTCAGCACCGCACCCGCATTGTGAGTAGTTAAGCCACATCACAAAAAAATGACGCATTACATTCAAAACATTTTTGCACTACCGCACATCTAGGCGCTGATTTGTATTTTCTACTTGGCATCTTAAAAAAATGTCTATGAAATTTATATGACTGGAATTAAAAATGAATGTGAAATGTAATAACTTTCTTACGTTTCATCAATATTCCTGTATCTATCATATTTTCTCACCTGTTATTTTCAAGATAGGTACTTCACCAACCAGGGATTTTCTTTTCATATCGCTCTCTTTTTTAAAATTTAGCAAATTTGCATATGTAATTTCCAGGTTGAACAAGAAAAAGCATATGCGCAACTATCCACCCATGCACGGTCATTTTTCCTTCCAGTTATAGTATACAACTTACAGCTTAGACTTCTAATAATGACATCTCTGAAGCAGATGTTACATCACATCAGAGCCAAACATTGTAACTGCAGAATCATGACGTTTAGGCACACTACACTATTCGTCATTGTCTGTCGGAGCGGTCCGTAGGACTTTTGCTCTTGGTTGAAGTCTTGTAAGTCAGTAGGTCTGTCAGGTCTGGTTGCCCAGATACCAAACAAAGTCAGGGAGAAAGAAGGGAAGAAGAAAGGAAGGAAGGAGGGAGAGCAAAGAAAAAAGAAGTGCATCAATTTGAGGGGTGCCTTGGCATTGCTAGTTAGTATTCGGCAATTTTAAATTGATCCTAAAATTAATTTTGGGATTGGTTGTTGAAGACAAATTATAATTTTGGTTGGACCTAAAAACGCACGATTTAATTTTGTTCACAGTGCGAGTCGCGGCCTTGTGTGCTTGTGAAACGAGATTTGGAATTTAGTTTTTAAAGCTTCAGTGTTCTTCTGCCAGGTTATCCCCTTGTCAAGAGTGATACCGAGATACTTAGCAGAGCTTTCCCATGGTACCCGAGCTCCATTCACTGAAACCTCAGACGGGGCGCCGCTACGTTTTTTAGTACAATAGATTGCCTGCGTTTTCGAATGATTAATTTTGATCAGCCACCGATTCGCCCATTCCAATACATCGTCCACTGCACTTTGCAGCCTGTCGTGAACTAGATCCCCAGAGCACGACTGGGCCACCAGGGCAGTGTCATCAACATAGAGATAGGTTTCACAGCTGCTGGGGCAAGGGACGTCATGAATAAAAAGTTAATAAAGGACTGGTCCAAGAACCGAACCCTGAGGGACACTGGCTTTGATGGGCCGTGTTGTCGACAGAACGTTATTAATTTTGATCCCAAATTTCCTACCCTCGAGAACGGATTTCAAAAGGAGCCAGAAGGGGAAGCCCTTATGGATCAATTTGTAGAGAAGGTCCTTGTGCCACACCTTGTCAAATGCCTTTGAGACATCCAGTAGCAAGATGCCAGTACTTTCATTACGGGTGAACCCGCTGGTTACTCGTTCAACAAGCCTTATGGCCTGTAGCTCCGTACTATGCTCAGACCGAAATCCAAATTGCACGTCAGGAATCACATTGTGGTCTGCCGAGAAAATTTCAAGGTGACGTAGAATCACCCTTTCAGCGAGCTTAGAAGGAGCTGACAGTAGACTAATGGGGCGGTAATCCTGAGGGAATATCGAACCCACCTTCTTTGGAATCAGTATGACATCAGCGGTCTTCCACGCCGTTGGGAAGTGCTGGGTCCATGACATTGATTATTGCCGCGAGATAAGTTAAGGACTTTCACGAAAGTGAAAGTAGCTTCAACGCCTTATTAGTGATTCGATCCTCTCCAGGTGCTTTACGCACCTTGAGGTCTTGAATATGACCTTGGAGCTCTGCTGGTGTGCAATGCGGAGTCTCAGGAGATTCCGCTGATGTGCCGTGCAGCTCTTCAATTGAGGAATCATCTGAATATTCCTCTGAGGAAAAATCACTAAGGGAGGCACTACTGCCACTGACGCCGTTGGCCCTAAAATACCTCCTGACGGATCTTACAATATGTTGCTCCTTGTCGAGGTCATTACCAAGGTCATAGTTGAGAGAGAACTGACTTTCCATTGCATCAGCGACGTTTAGGCAACACGTACAGCTACGGAACGAGTACACAACAAGTGTACAACAGCTGGTGCTAAGTTGACATCTTGTAGGAAAACCTATATAATGTCAATAAAATGACATAATGTCACTTTTCAAGATACGTAATACCCCTGTAGGTATTTATAATTTTGTTTACGCGACTGCTTCAACATAATAAAAAAATAAAAATATAAAACTTTTGTAGGTATATACTTGGTATATATACAGTAGGAGCGCACGAATTTGACCGCCGGGCGCTGGTGTTTCTTTGACAGGGATTAAATGATATTTGAGTATATTATTGTTCTTTTTTCACAATACTAATGAAATTCTTCTTTTCAAATCTTTCCCAATCAGCATTACATTTCTTGCGTTTTTCAGTTAACCGTCATCATGCCCGATCTACGCTGTTCTACATCGAGTCTGTAAAAAGAAAAGCAAAAGCCAGAGAAGCAGAATATCACGAAGACCCAAATCACAACGTTACAATAAAGCTCAAGGAAGATCCCAAAGAAATAATATTTGGACACCATGTAGACACAACTGCCAGAGGAGTTTATTATTTTCAAACCAATGCCAATGCACCTTTTCTAAGGTTGTGAATCTTTTTTCACGATACACCATAAGAGTATTATAATAAATGTTTATGCTACCACAAATATTTGGTTTTATTATTATATTAATATTTGGATTGCTTAAGAACATGCTTGCAGTAGTCATCAATTTGGAATGTTTATATAATATCTTGCTCCTCGAAAACATTTTTACTTCCCGCGCCGCTGGCATTTTATGACATGAACATATATAACACGAAAAACCATGTCCACCGATCCTTGGCTCGTCTATGATTTCGATATGTATAAAATTTTCACAGTTCACACAAAGCTGTAGTTTTTGAAAATCAATCCAGTGGCAGTGAAGCTATGGGACAAAACACGAAAAGAATAGAAATAGTTCTTACTTCGTTTTAGAGGTTTCAGAAGATCGTGATCATTTTCAGAAAAAAAAATTGTTGGTATTGAAAAGAATATCTCAGCTTTTTGATCTTAGTATATTTATACGACCGGATCCTGGTAATTCCACGCACCTATTAGACATATTTCACACATCATAGATTTGCCCGCATATTTGCCATCAAAACTTAGAATGCTAAGAGACATAGTCAAGCTTAAGCACTTAAGCATCGCTACACAAAAATACAGCCATATGTGATCAGATTGGTTTTCTTTCATCCGAAGCACGCGTCTCTCGTGCCTTCCTTTATACCCACAAAGAGAAGCGCGCCCCCACTTTGGAAAACAATGCCTTAAGGAAAGCACGATCCGTCAGACGAAAAGAATATAACTCAGGAAATGACACGGGTGCTTTTTATCCGCAAAAAGTGTGATTTACAGGAACCTAACTACGAGAACCAAATTATACACGTAAAAGCGGTAATGTCTCCACTCAGCTGATTAGGTTTTATGGCCCCACGCAGGAAATTACATCAATTACTTTAGTGTCAAAGGAGAATTGTCAGTTCGATATCAACATTTTTTCCAACCTCAACTATCCTGCAGACCCAGCGTTGAATCCGATCTACGTTGGAAACATACTGAAGTTAACAAGGCTTTGGCGTTTGAAATTGTATTTAGTGTATTACGGGAGAAACTTTACCCCATCACAGCGTCAACGTTATTTTGAAGAATTATTATTCATGTTTTGTCCTATTGCCTGGTACCAGAAAGCAGCAAAACAAAGTCTCTTCCTTTTCGGTACCCAAGTATAAATCAGCCTCGTCAGCGGTGTAGAAGTTTTCAACATCCTATATCTTGGTTATAAGATATCTTAAAAAGCCTATATTTTTAGGGGCCATTTGTGTTATTTTTGGATATACTGTCAGCTCTGAAGATATTGACATTTTTGTATTTACCCCTGTATACATAAATTCCTTATACAGTTTGCTTAATCGACCTGTACTATGTTGCACAACTGGTTGCCTGCACGTCATGGATTAAATAACGGCCTTGACTTTTTTATGAGACAGGAAACGTCAAAATAGAGAGTGAGCAACAGGCGAAGAAAGAAGAAGAGAATCAGTCAAGAAAACATTGCTTGTTTGTGAACGCGTATGTGCGCGACCTAAGATCTCGAACAATTATTAATTCCAAAGAATTTAATTAAACCTTCAGGCTCTCGGTAAGTTAATTCTCTAGCTAATTTAGTCCGTTTAAAAACTGCAATACGAACCATGGTAAGTGTACTGATCCATTTTCTTTTTACAGATTTAACCCCGTTTTACCTGTTGCTCTACTTGTGACGGCTTAACGAACAAATTACAAACTTCCTGTTTAACAAGATGTGAGCTAATCGTCTAAAAGCATCGACGAAATAATGTACAGGCCTCCACAGAACACAAATCGAGTGAAATCTATCAAAAGTAAGTTCGAAAATATCGAAAATGAGTCCCCAGAAAAGAAAAATGGGTATAGGGGTAACTTGAGAGTGAACAATAGCCCTCAAAAGCCTGAAAATATCATACAGAATGAAAAACTAGTGGTGCAGAGACAGCTTAGTGACCCATG